ACTAAAAATATATCTTCTAAAGAGACTTTGAGCATTGGAGGAGGTGAAGAAGTCCAGCCTCTAGGCCAAGATGGGGATAATAACCTTATGGAAGTAGAGTCTTTTGAAACTGAGATCAATGAGCAAGAGGTGTTTGAGATTAGGATCCCATCCACCATACTTGAAGGTTGAAGCAGATAACAGTTGAGCAGGATGTTTTGACAATTCAAGTCCAATTGTGGCTAAGGTAAAACCATAAGAGGCCTCCTAGAAGAGTAGGAGTAGCCTCATTCATTTGGTCGACAATTATAGGATTAAAGTTCATGTGCTGATGAGGCCGACCATAAAGGGAAGAGGGCTTGCTTGACTTTGAGGGATCACTAGATGCCTATTTGTGCCTGTTGGGATAGTAATCTAACTAGCCCATAAATGAAATAAAGGCCCATAAGGCCCAAATACAAATGAGTACATCCATGAGTCACAATGGAGCTCATATACATTGAAATGGATCCAAAGGGACCAATAGAAGTGCAACACGTGTAAAACACTTCCAAGAGATCTATAAATACCTCCACACCCCTTAAAGGTAGGGACTTTTCGAGGAGCTTTTCTCTCTCTATTATATTTCTCTCTCTAAAGAGAGCCCTAACTATAGAATATTGCTAATTTGGGCGTCGGAGTGTCTACCCGAGGAACAACCCTCGGGTCTGTTTTGCAGGTCTCTATGCTGGTTAGCTTGTGTCAACTAGATCTTGTGAAGCTGCCCAAACATTTGGCGCCGTCTATGAGAACTCGAACAAAAAGCTTTATTTCTATGTTGATTCGGTTGATCAGAGGGAGGAGAAGATGTGTGAAAGGCTTGTGGCTTATTCTCTTGAGTTACAGATAGTTGCAGAAGTCAATTTGGTGAATTTACAAAATGGGTTTATTCATCTATGAAAAAGAGAAGCTTCACCTGCAAAAAGAGAAGTTTTCATAAGAAGACAAACAAGGGGTTAGCTTTACACAACTATCAAGGTTCTACCTAATGAAATAAAGGCACGCATGGTGCAATATCAACCATGAATATTCAAAAAGAAAAAAGGGTGTCAGCAAAGCACAAGTTTAAGGTAACTCAAAGTGGTAAAAAAAAAAAAATAGTGATAATAAATAAAAAGAAATGGTGGGCACGGGACCATGAAAGTTGCGACCACGATGAGACAAGACGAGCTCAAGCTTGATGGCAGCGACAAAGCAGCCGCCCAGCTCGTTAATGCCAAAGTAGTCCCCTAGCTTGGCAGCGACGAAGCAGCCTCGCAGCTCGGCAAAGCTGTCGACTAGCTCGGCAGTGACAAAGCAGTCCCCCAAGTCTGCAGCAATGAAGCAGCCGCCCAGCTCGTCAGTGCCAAAGTAGTCCCCTAGCTTGGCAGCGATGAAGCAGCTTCTCGGCTCGACAAAGCAGTCCAGATCGACAGCACCAAAGCAGTCCAGCTCGCAGTGGCAAAGCTCAAAGCAGTGCTTCAGCTTGGCAGCAGCATGGCAGCCCAGCTCGGCAGCAACATGACAGCCCAGCTCGGCAACACCAAAGCAGTCCAGCTCGGCAGTGGCAAAGCTCAAAGCAGTGCTCCAGCTCAGCAGCAGCATGGTAGCCCAGCTCGGCAGCAGCATGACAGCCCAGCTCGGCAGCACCAAAGCAGTCTAGCTCGGCAGTGGCAAAGCTTAAAGCAGTGCTCCAGCTCGGCAGAAGCAAGGCAGTCCAGGTCGGCAGCTCAGCAAATATGAGCATTCTCCAGGTCGGCATCTCGGCAGCGCTAGAGCTTAGGACCATGAAAGTTTTTAGAAAAATAAGTTCACAAATGAGGCGCCCTCAATGAGACAAGATGAACCCGAGGTTGATAATGGTGGCAAAATAGTCGCCTAGCTCAGCAGCGACAAGCAGTCCCCCAGCTCGGCTGTGGCAAAGCGACCTCCCAGCTCCTTACCATGTACCAAGCAACTTTGTAAAGAAGCTCGTTAAGGAAGATGCGAGCAATTAACAAAATATGATGATGGTTAGCCTGTACTTGCAACAAATTAACAGCACTTTATGAAACCAACGGGAAGACGCGGGTTTCGACCACAAGCATCCCTGGGCAATAAACCACTTAAGCTTGGTTATAGCTCTGCAATTATTGGGGAGATGGATCCTAATCTTTTATTATTTTACTTTATTTTGGATGTTGTTTTATTTTCCTTTATTGAAAAGCAAGTTGGGATCTTCTTCCTTTTTGAATTTGTTCTCGCAGAATCCAAGAGATCAGTCCCTGACCAGGCAGCTTGCCAGTATGAAAATCTCTACGAGCTACATCTTGCTCAAACACGAGCTCACGAGTTGCCGAGCTCAAACGCATGATGCAGAACTTAGACACGAGCTCACGAGTTGCCGAGCTCAAACGCATGATGCAGAACTTAGACACGAGCTCACGAGTTGCCGAGCTCAAACGCATGATGCAGAACTCAGACACGAGCTCACGAGCTGCCGAGCTCAAACACATGATGCAGAACTCAAGCACGAGCTCACGAGCTGACAAGCTCAAAGGCATGAGGCAGAACTCCAGCACGAGCTGCCGAGCTCAAAGGCATGATGCAGAACTCCAGCACGAGCTGCTGAGCTCAAAAGCATGAACTCGAGCACGATCTGCAGAGTATGAGATGCCGAGCTGCAAGCATCCTACTTGAGGTTGAGCTAAAAGATGTGGAGCATGAGCTGCATGCAACCTGCTCGAGCATGAGCTGCAAAGATGCAAATATCCTGTTCAAGGTCGACCTGAAAGATGTGCAGCATAAATTGCAAAGTGTCAACACCCTTAACAATGTGTTGACACCTTTTCTGCATCAGTGCCAAAGAGTCCGTGTCGGGTTTTTGTCTTTCTCTGCAAATTCTGTTAACGGTAAAATTACAATCCCGATCCCTTACTTATGAATTCTGCACAATTTAATCCTCAAATTTCATATCTTTGCAATTTACTCCTAAGGATTGTAACTTCTTCCAATTAAGTCCTCTCTAGCACAAAGCATGAAAATTATGTAAATTAAATAAAATTTCATAAAACTCATCCAATATCAATAATATCAAGTCATAAATTTTACATTAATATGTATGAAGAAAGTATACTATCTTGATTATAAGATTGGATGCCTTTGATTTCTCCTTTTTTCAAGTCCTTGTGATACAGGTTGTCAAGAAAGCAATCAAGCTCCGTAGCAAATTAGAGCTTTGGTCCAAACTTGGTCCAACCTTATATTAAAATTTATTTCTTGCATTCGTTCTACATTTTTTCCATTCATTATGCACTTGTTTTTGCATTAATGATATCATTTTGCCATCTCATTTTTCATATATATCATAATCATTCTATTTTGCTCATTTGCGCTCATGATTATAAATATATATGTGTTCCTATTTTAGAGATGGAAAAGTGCAAGGAACAGGTTAATTAGGTTGGCCTAATCAACATATATGAAGCTCCCCATACACTATCAAAAAGTCAGAAGCTCCTCTGAATAAATTCAGACAAGAAGGGGGAGAAATAAGGGGAGTTCTACATTCTACATTCTACATCAAAGTTTGAAAAACAAGGGCGTGAATAATTTGAGCATGCCCCAAGACCTCGTCAACAGATGAGCAGGGCCGAGCAAGATCCAAATCTCCATTTGGTGAGCTCTTACATTAGTGTTTTCCTTGATCTTGCCCCAAGACCTCGTCAGCAGATGAGCAGGGCCGAGCAAGATCCAAATATCCATTTGGTGAGCTCTTACATCAGTGTTTTCCTTGAGCTTGCCCCAAGACCTTGTCAACAGATGAGTAGGGCCGAGCAAGATCCAAATCTCCATTTGGTGAGCTCTTACATCAGTGTTTTCCTTGAGCTTGCCCCAAGACCTCGTCAACAGATGAGCAGGGCCGAGCAAGATCCAAATATCCATTTGGTGAGCTCTTACATCAGTGTTTTCCTCGAGCTTGCCCCAAGACCTCGTCAATAGATGAGCAGGGCCGAGCAAGATCCAAATCTCCATTTGGTGAGCTCTTACATCAGAGTTTTATCTACCACTTGAAGGCCCCATCAATAAATGAGCAGGGTTGTGCAAGAGCCAAATCTCCACTCAGGTTAGGCAAGATCCAAATCTTTATTTGGTGAGCCTTTCAAAAAGAATGACAAGCTGAAAGAGCTTCAACAAAGCATGACGAGCTGTCAAAGCTCCAGCAAAGAATGACGAGCTGAAAAAGCTGCAATAGAGAATGACAAGCTGACAAAGCTCAAACATAGCATGACGAGCTCACAGAGCTTCAATGAAGAGTGACGAGCTGAAAAAGCTCCAACAGAGCATGACGAGCTAACAAAG